CTCTTGATGCTGACCGTCCGTCTCCGCGGTGCAGTCGGCATCAATCCGCAGCCGCTCGCCGCCGCTGTTTACCGCACAGCTGAGCCAGGGCCCAGGGGCGGGGCTGCTGATGCTGCGAAGGGGCGGGGCGAGGTCGCAGATTCGCCACTCTCCTTGGTCAGATCCACTAGTTTGGTAACAAAAAAATTAATAATAGCTCATAATAATATATAATAATATAAAGTAGCTTTGCAACTAAGCCCACAGAACGAAGCATTACTTTGTACCATTTACATCAGTTATTTTTATATCATTGAAACCTACTATTATAGTTTTCATTAATATTTTGAATTCAGTTTTATTTTTTACATTTTCTGTTTTAATTTTTATTTTAAAGTTTTAGTAATTTTGTTGTGTTTTGTCGATTTTGTTTAGTTTATTAAATCAAGTCTAAATAGTTTTAATTAATTGATTTATTATTACCGCACAGCTGAGCCAGGGCCCAGGGGCGGGGCTGCTGATGCTGCGAAGGGGCGGGGCGAGGTCGCAGATTCGCCACTCTCATTGGTCAGATCCACTAGTTTGGTAACAAAAAAATTCATAATAGCTCATAATATGAAGTCAGTAATTTATAAATGTTTCATTCTTTTGTTCCAAGAAACAGCGGATAAAGTAGCTTTGCAACTAAGCCCACAGAACGAAGCATTACTTTGTACCATTTACATCAGTTATTTTTATATCATTGAAACCTACTATTATAGTTTTCATTAATATTTTGAATTCAGTTTTATTTTTTACATTTTCCGTTTTAATTTTCATTTTAAAGTTTTAGTAATTTTGTTGTGTTTTGTCGATTTTACTAGTATTCATTTTTTTTTGTTTAGTTGATTAAATCAAGTCTAAATAGTTTTAATTAATTGATTTATTTATTAGTTATGGTAGTAGGTAAATTCATGATAATTGGGACATTTTTGTCAGTCATTTTAAAGAGAAAAAAGTTTCCCAATTGACCTGAATTCACCCTACATCAAGTTAAACTAAATGAAATTGAGAAATGTTGCATTGGCAACTAGCTGAAGTAAGTTTCACGTAGTTGCCAATGCACCATTAAAATGAAGTTTAAAATATAACATTAAAATATAAAATTATTTTAATATAAATTATTTAAAACTTTATAAATATATGAAATTATTTTATATGGTTATATAAAATAATTAAATTATATATAATTTATATATAAAATATATAATTTTTATATAATTTTAACACAGGACACTTTTCATGCCAAAAAAAAAAGTAGTTTTTGTTTCAACAGCAGCTTTATTCAATAAGGCTTCTGAGCTCCATTATAGACAAACAAATGAGAACACTCCAAGCCCTCTCACCTTTCACAGCTCTCAAATGATCAAATATATATACAGGCAAATAATACATACACTGCATCACGGAGAAGGGCCACATTTATGCAAGTTCACTCAATAAAGATGAGGCAACATTCCTGAAGCACAGCTAAACAAAGAACCACAGTGAGAGACGATTCAAACACAGCCAAACATGTATGTACTGTAAAATCTTTTGAGGTCCTTCCACAATTAGTTATGTGTCCCTCAAACTAATGATGGAGATGGAAATGATGGGAAGTGAGGGACTTGATAACCACACCTAAGATGCAGATCTACATTTCCAAAACCCTCAAGATATTGGCTTGTCCTCCATTAAACGTGATGGATACTTCAGTGTGCTGCAGCTACAGAGACATCAATTAAAAAAAACTAACAAAATGAAAGCAAAAAAACAGCATTTGGGTTATGGCAAGTACACATATAGCATAATCATACAGTACCTTTATAATAAGACAAAAATGATAAAAAACAAAGTCAAGGGCTTTAAATGGAAAGCATATTTACAATGCAGTTTGAAGCATATTGTGATCAACTCAACTGTCTGTGTCACTTGTGCATTCTAACTCACATCCACACGTGTGTCAAATATCCAATCAGGATTTGATTACACAGTACGAGGGTTCAAAAGATCGCCGTCACATAGCCCTGTGGCCAATCAGTTTACAGACAGCCACTTTGTAGAGAGGACTGATCCGTTTCCCTGAGGAATACAAACTGTGATATGGTCAACGAGAGGCACGCATACAAATATATTTGCCATTAAACACACACACTCTCTCTTCGTCGCTCTCAGACAGAAAATAATCAAGTTTTCTTAGTTCCCAAAGAGCATCCGCTGAAAGAAGCCTAATGGGACTTTTCAAGGAAGTCGGGACCATCGATCTGGGAAAACAGCACCCCTCTTCATCAAGCAGATACCCAATGAGGTGCGTTTGTGATTGCTCTGATTGCTGGAAGAACCCAGAAGAGAGGAAAGAGAGGATGTGTGTGCCAGGAATCGGTTTTCCACACAGTCATAAAACGATGTGCTCGTGAAAAGCAGCATTCAGATGTGCCAGGATGTGCTGTGTTTGCTTCTCTGAATCACTCCGCCTCAGGTCCTTCAGCAGGGGCCGCTCTAGGACTGACTGTACGAGCTGTTTTGACTCCCGTTTGAGCTCTGGTCAGTCTCACTGTTGTAAGAAAAGCAAGAAAATACAGGCGGAGAAGTGAGATGAGATGAAAGAGGTCTTTTCCACTTTTCTAAAGCTAAAACTATTAAAATGACCAAACATAATTGCAATAAAGCTGAAATAAAATATAAACATTAGATGAAAAACTTGAACTTAAACTAAATTTAGAAATTCTGCCTTGGCAACTAACTGAAATAAGCGCAAGGACTTCAAAATTAAATAACATTTATTTAAACATAAAATAGGCTTTAATAAAGGGCTTTTCCACTTTTCGAAAACGTTTCGAATAATTTTGAGTACTAAAATAATTACATAAAAAAAACACTAAAAAGTAAACAAGAAAAAAAAATAAAAGCACTTAAAAAAAAATAAACTAAAACTGAAAAAAATATTTGAACATAAAACGGGCTTTAATAAAAGGCTTTTTTTTCCTAACAATCAAAAACAATAAAATAAAAATAAACAAATACTGGATGAAAAACTTATATTTTAAAAACTTTAAACTTTAACAAACTAATTTAAAGCTATATCACAAAAGCACATAAAATTCGT